GGCAGGCAGGCAGGCAGGCAGGCTGAAATTACAGCAGCTTGATTTCGTCTGGAAAGTAAAACACTTTGGGCTAAAAGGATCACAGCTTTTTGAGCTGGACAGAGGCGAAACCAAGGCCAGCGGTCCCACTGAAGATACCAAAGGGGTTTCTGGCAGATTTGTGCTCATTTTCTCGTGCCTGCATCCATGTCTCTAACCTGCTCCTGCATTACAGATGTTTCTCCTGGGTAAATGTATAAATGAATGGCCAGAAGGTGGCGCTGGAGGATAATTTGAAGAGTAGTTTGGGGGGGGGAATCCCCAAACAACTGCTGACATCTCCCTTTGAAACAGCTGGATAAGCTTTACTCCTCTGAACAATTTTGCTACTAAATTCCTGGCCTCATCCTGGTTTTGTTTGTCAATCATCTTTTTCTGGGGCGGATTTGTGTCTCGGTGGATTAACAAGGCCACGTCTTATTCTAAAACAGGGTGGTTCAGCCTTGGCCACTTGAAGAGGGGTGGACTTCAACTCCCAGAATTCCCCAGCCAGCAAGTTGAAGTCCAGGGGTGTGGACTTCAACTCCCAGAATTCTCCTCAGTGGTCAGGCTGCTTGTGGAATTCTGCGAGTTGGAGTTCCCATACCTGGAAATGGCCAGGATTCAAGGAATTTAGCTCTGGCCCGGAATGCTGGCTGGGGAATTCTGGGAGTTGAAGTCCACCCATCTTCAAGAGGCCAAGGTTGAACAACCCTGCCTTATGTGAATCCAACTCACTGGACTGAAATTGCAAAGAGTGAAACGAGTATTTCATCTAATAAATCTTTCCTTCTCTCTGGCCAAAATGGCTCTTTAGTGGGACTGAGGAATGGCACCCTAGGCTTTAGAATGGCTCCTCCAGACTTTTATGTATTTAACTTTTACAAAGCTTTTCACCCGCGGGAACTCGAGGCTCTGTGATGCTTGCAAGTGGGAAGGGACTCCCCGCCCATCAGGACATCTTCTCAAAAAAAAGAGGCACGTTTTGTCCTTTGCAAAACGTTGGGGGCCTCCTGGGATTCAGTTCAAGATGGGGGGAAAAAAGCTGGCCGGCGAGTTCTGGGAGTTGAAGTCTACCCATCTTAACGTTGCCAAGTTTGAAAAACACTTCTAAAGGGAAAAACGAACAGGTCGACATGCCTGCCAGCTCCAACTGATAGAGCTATGGAAAAAGGAAATTGTGTGTGAGTGTGTGTGTGTATTGGGGCTTCTGCTGGAACCCCAAATAGTAAACCATAGATTGGGTGGGTCCATTCTCTGCCAACTTTGCAGAATAGTGGATTGTTCCCATCCCACAGTAGGAAAGACTGAGGCTTTGTACATAGTGGTTGCAGAATCTCTTGGGAACGCAGCATATGTGGAGATCATGACTTTGAGGGTTATTTTACTTGAAAGCCCAGAGGTCACTCCTCCTCCTCAGCCCCTGAATTGAAAGCATGCTCTCTCTGGTTCTGGAGGACACCCATAACCCGTGCGATGGTGGATCAGAACCCCCGATGAGGAAGCTGTCTCATTTCATTTTAAAGCTGTTTAAGAAAGGGGCTGCCACCAGGCCTCAGGGCAATAAATCCGATCAGCCGATTCTGCACACGTCGAGGGCGTTTGCTCCAGGGGGTTGAGCGAGCCGAATTTGGGCTCCCGGTTCAAGGCAGGAGGATCGGCCATGGGGGAAAACCAGAACTGGGTGGAGCGCGGCTGTGCCGCGTGGAAGACGCTAGGAAGACGTAGTTTCTGAGTCTTGTTCTTCTTTTCCGGCCCTGCTCCTTTTTCCTTTTGTGATGTGTCACCTTAAGATGGCAAGCCTGCGAGCTGGGCCTCCGCGGGTTACGTTAGAAACTGGCCAGAAACACAACTCAGGGCGGTATAAATTGTATTTTTTATTGTATTTTTATACTATTTTTACTGTATTTTAATTTTAATGTTTTGTTTTCATGTAAACCGCCCAGAGTCACTTCCTAGTGAGATGGGTGGGGTCCAGATTTGAAATATAAAAAATATAAGTATAAATAAATGCTTGAAGTTATGTCAAAGGGTTAGGGGTAGTTAAATAACAGGCAAGAAAGACTGCTAGAATGTGAATGTCTAATTAGAAGTCATTAGAAAGCAAATTAGAGGATCCTGGAGTTGGGGGGGGACTCTAGAGGTATCTAGTCCAACCCCTTGCTCAGCGCAGGATGCGCTACAGCATCTTTGATGGATGGCCTCTGTTCGAAGACCTCCAGTGACAAAAGAACTCACCGCATCATGTGGCAGCCTGTTCCACTGACTGAGAGCGTGTACAGTCGATAAGTTTTTCCCGACGTTTAGCCTGAATATTCTTCCTTGGTATTTTATCCTGCTGTTTCTGTCCTGCCCTCTGTTCGGTATTCTCATGTACTGAAAAGAGTCTTTCCAAAGGAAGGGCAATAGATTTTAATTGCATTCCTCCCATGTCCCCAACTTTCTGTCCTTCGAGGTAGGCCAGGTCAAGAAACAGATACTATAAGAAATGTTGGAACTCTATTAATCCAGGCTATAAAAACTGACAGCTTTTCCCGTTCCCTCCTTCTTATACCAAAGGGATCCAAGGCGAGGCGTCTTGAGTTTCTTTCTCACACGTTCCTGTTTTCCCGGGCTGAGCTCATGTTTTGCTAACGGTTGCTGCGCATTTTCTTCAAGGCTCCTCTGCGCCACCTTCTGAAGCACTGTTCTGTTTCCTTTTAAAGGGTGCTTTCTGCTTTTAACGCAGCTGTAATTATGCATTTTTCTCCAGCCTGTGGAGGGAGGCCAGGAGAAACGAAATGAGGGGTCTTTTCTCGGACGATATTCCAGTCAGTAGCCCTTGTGGCTTTCAGCCCTGTAGGCCGAGCGTCGCTCATCTCTCGTGTTGAAAAACTTCATTTTTTCCTTCCCTCTCGTATTGCTTCTGTTCTCATTTTATTCCTTCCTTTTTCTTGTTTTCTTCACTTGTATGGGAAACCGGGTTTTCCGTTAATTGGGTTTTCTGCTCTACCCACCAGGAGCCTTGCGTGGCTGCCCTCGCTCGCGTGGAGCGCACGGACTTCCTCTCGCCAATGTGCATCGGCGAGGTGGCCCACGTCAGTGCCGAGATCACTTATACATCTAAACACTCCGTAGAAGTTCAGGTGCAAGTAGAAGCCGAAAACATCCTCACAGGTAAACGCTGGCGGCTCTTGGCGAATGGGACGAGTTCCCTAGACTCGCTGAACGATATTCGTTCCCAGCCTTGCGCTGAGCGAAAAGGTCCGCCACAAACTTTGGGGAGCTTTTTGGTCTAGGCAAGTGGTGAAATGCGTGTAAGATCACGCATGGCCCGTGTTTATTGTCTGTGAGAGGTTCCAGCTGGAATTAACATGCACAACTGTTCCTAGTGACATGGATGATTGATTCTAGGATGGATAACTTTCCAGCCTCAACTATGCAGCTCCTTGGATACGGTTATATACTAATTGTATCATGGTTAATCACTAATCAAAATGAGAAAGCATCGATCATTTTCTAAGGGAGCAGCTGCTCTGTGCAATTCGCTGGGAAAATACCTTCATCCAGATTAATCCCTCATTAGAAACTCTATAAATAAAACTCTTACCCCTCAATAATTTGCCGTACTGCACTAGATTTGGAAATTATACTTCTGTTAATCCAGCCTTGGATTGCATTTTTCTTTTTGCAACCGCGTTAGACCTCTGCTCAGTTTGCAATCAACTGGTATTTTGTGGGAATGAATTCTTACATTGATGAGGAGGCTGGTAACCATTGTGTACTGTAAATGTGGCCCTGCTGCTTTTATTTCTTTTTTCTGTTCTTTTCTCAGAGACTCACATTAGCAATATACTTGACTCTTGATTTAGTGGGAAAATTTGTAAATTAGTTTCCCTTTCCCTTTCAGAACTCCCCAGGCAAACTCCTGTTAGCTCTCTCGGTGAGTTTGCTCTCTGACACCAGGCTGCCTTATATTCCTCTTACAGTCTCTGCTTACTCAGCAGGAAGTAGGAGATGGCAGCTTTCAGGCACTCCCCTTGCAATCAGCCGCTATTCAACACACTTTTGTCTTACTTCACACAGCTCAGCATGCCAGTCTTTGTGCAGACTTCACACCTCTTCACATACCCCCTCCTTCTCCTTTGCTCTCAGTACCTAGCTAACATCAAACCTTCACTGCCTGAGCACAATTTGATAGAGGCTTTATTTGGAATTAGGTCATATTTATGCAAAAGATCAGCTACTACACAATACAGGAATCCATCTCTTTCTGTTTGTGAGCTTGTGCGTGTATACTGCCAGACTTCAAATCTTTAAATGCTTTGGTGGTTATTGGCTCTGTGGTTCCTTCCATAGATTGGAATACAGAAGGCACCTGTATTCTGTTTACATCTGGTCAGCAGTTCTTTGCTTCTCATTTTGCCAGCTGCAGCCCACAGACTATACATAATCCCTCTGAGCACACAGCTTTTCTATCCAGTCTTCTCTTTTCTTCCTGTTTAGCTCCCCAGGCAAACATCTGCTCACTTATCCTGTTTTTCTCACGCAGGGATATGATGCTAGAGACCGGTCCTTTGCTTTGCCACATGCCACTCTTAAAAATAGCATTTTGAAAAAAAGTAGATGAGCAAAGAATCTGTTGGGACCCCAGAGAGGCATTGTTGGGGTCTCCTGTACAAGGAGATCCTTCAGCATTTTTTAAGGGGCCTTGGTAAATGTCTGTTCAAGTTCACCCTGTTTCTTTTCTGCCGAGGTGCTTGAATGGGAGCAAGCAGAGGCTTGCTTTTCACCCATAAAACAGTCACTGGTTTAACTGATAAAAAAACAACGCCTTGCAGCATAACTGTTAAAGAACTATCAAGATTCAGGCTGGGCTGGTATGCTTCAAAGCATACCAGATGTCTGCACCCTCAGGATGACTGATTTTGCCCTCCTTTTTATTCCATCTTGCCTCATCTTCCCAACGTCTGACTTCCATTGAGTGTCTCTGGAAAAGGGAGCGGTTGAAGCAGCTGCTTGCCAAGAGAAACACTGCATTTCATTAGAAACACAAACAGGCCCCCAGATGTTTCGCCCTCTGAGCACAGCTGGATGTAGGCAGATGAGTGGAATTTCCACAATTATTCTACCTTTGAAAGAGAACCAAAGCCAGCATCAAAAGTTCCTTCCAAGGGGTGATGGTCCCTACCGAGGGGCTGGAGTTCATTGGGAGGGTCAAGTAAATTGCTGCTTTTGCTTTATTTTTCTCAGCTAACTCTCCCCCTCCTGCATGGTCCCCCCTCCCCTGTGCTTGAGGCCACTTTGAAAATATAATCCGTATCTTGCTAGATACGTAGGAGGCTCCCTTCAAAGGGCATCTGTAGCTTTGATGTCCAAGAACGGGTCAAATTTTGAATGAGACGCTTGGGGCTTCTCTCTTCCCCCCACAGCCATTGGCTCTTTCATTTAATGTCAGAAACAGAAGCGCCAAGTTTGTGAACCTCCGTTCATCAGTCATGCAACAGGCTACATTTGTGCAACACACACAAAACAGGTGTTCCCTTAACTTTGGTTTCCATTTGCATCCTAGTTGAACTGAGACTGTTCTGTGTGACCTCCTCTAATGAGTGGGTTGCCTTTGGTCCCACCCTGGCTGAATGAAAACGCTTGGCCCCTGACTGCAGGAGAATAGTTGCAGCCTGCTTTGTATCTGTTCTCTCTCCCGCCTTATGTTAAACACACACACACACACACAGTGAAGTTGCTGTTCCCCTAAAGAGTTGAATTGGAGATCTCTGAGATTAACAGCAGACCCTCCAATTCGTGGGCCCAGCTAAAGCTGAAATGCAGAACAGCCGTAATGTATGTGGGAAAGACCTTGGGAGACTGGGCAAAGAGACTGGGCAAAGAAACTAGGGAGGGTCCTTTCTGAGCCTTTTGCCCTGTCCACTATCCAGCTATCGGCTATGCCCTCTCTTATCTGACTGTTCCCTAGGCAGCATCTCTTGGCCCCGTCTCCCAAGGTCTTTCCCACATACCATTACAACAGCATCTGCAACAAAGCCTGATGAACTGAGAAGCAGGGTTTGATGTCAAAGAGGACCATCTGCTTGATATACTTCAACCTGGCCTGGAGAAACTGAATTTCCCTTTGGGCATCCTGTGCCCCCCGCCCCCCGATGAGTCGCCTTTTTCTGCCCTTGCAGGAGAAAAACCCAACCTTTTCCCCCTGCTTTGATCCCGAGCGGATGTGACAACCCACTGGGGGGAATAAGATTTACTGGCAATACCCGCCGTGTGCCCCCACCTGCAGAAACCTCCCTGGCAAGCAGGTTGCCACAGCAACAAGCACGGAGGAGGAAAGGCAGGGCGATCTGAAAGGCTTTCCAGAATAACATTCCCATGCAAAGTGCAGCAATTGTCCCTTGGCTGCCCCTTGGAGACCCTTTGGGGTGGGGGGTCACGTCTTGGGGGAGCCCCAAAGGGGTCGCCTCCCCTTTGGAAGGTGTCATCTAGAATCTGGGGGCAAGACAGGTGGGAAAACTGAGTTTAGAGGGAAGAGATTGCAAGGTCTCGAAAAAGGTCCTTTCCCCCTCCCCCCCCAAACCCCGCATTTTTCACCTTCCGATGTGTTGTGCGTTTTAATAGCGCAACCAACCTGAGCCAGGCAAGGAGAAGGGAGAAATTGGTCCATGGCATCTCTTCGTCGGTGAATTGATAAGAGCCCTTCTGGGCAAACCGTCTCTAACCCAACCGGCGGGAACCCTTCCAACTGAATACGCTTTTGCATCTTCCTGGCCGATGTGCTCGTGACCCCCAGCTGTTGAGTGGCTTTCGGAGGCCCCGGGGTGAAAAGCCAGCTTGGAAACACCGTTGGTAGCAAAGGGGGTTCCCCATTTCGTCTCTTTCCTTCCTCCTTTGCAGCCTCAACTCCGCCTGTCCCTCCCTCCTGTATCTCAGCGTCTCCTTTCTTTCTTTTGCTGCTTTTTAAAAAATCTGTCAGACTTAACCGTCGTTGAGTTGCATACACCGGCCTTGCCAAAACATCAGGAGGAGCGCCTTTTCCGAGTCGCAAATTTTATTAAAAGGCATCAGCTTTCGTGCAAATGCTTTTAATAAAACGTGTTAGGCGGCAAAGGGGCTGCCAGACTCCTTCTAACTAACATGGCTCTCCTCCTACAATACCAGCATTGGCAGAGTATATCCCAAAAGCCCTCCAGCACATAATGATTTTGCCAAGGTGGGTCCTGGGAATTTCATCCTTGGGTCCAGGGGGGACAAAGGTCACTTGGGAGCCATTCAAAAATGGACCATGGATTTATGATGGTTCACCTTTTCTATAACTTTGATGCCTAAACAAAGAAGACACGAGCAGAAGGAAACAGTGAGCGGTGAAAATCTAAAAAAAATAGATTCCTAGCATTTTATTTGCTGGCTGTATAGCCAACTTTTCCTATGATTTTGGAGCCATCCTTTCATTTTTCTCTGTTATGGACACAAACGATGCTTTGGCATCCTTGGCTTGACTTTTATAACACACGGGATATCATCATGGCTTGTTCTGGGCACCTATGGTAATAAGGATTCCGATAGGCCAGTTAGGGTTGGGTTGTCTCACTTTGTCTCTGAATATGGTGCCATCTTTTGAATGCTGACTTAGTAGCCTGAGCTGTGATGGGTTGGGTTGGGTTGGGTTGGGTTGGGTTGACTTAAACTGAACTGAACTGAACTGAACTGAACTGAACTGAACTGAACTGAACTGAACTGAACTGAACTGAACTG